GAGTATTAAATGTGCTGTATGAATGAAATAGGACAATTATAAGTGGCCTACACCCTACAGGTATCCACTGTCAAAACAGTGCATTCTAATCTTTATAAATAAGAACGTTATATTTGCCTTGCTATACTTGTTATTAGGTTTATTTTTATGATTGATATAAGTAGGTAACTTGCTCTAATAAGTAGATAGTATTAATTAGATATTACTTAAAGCTCTGCAATAACGATAAACACTGCCAAAACAGTGAATGGGTTAATAGAGGTATTTTTCTGAATAAACTTATTTACTTGTCTCTTTTATTTCTGTGATAGCAAATTAAATCTAAAGTGATGTTTTACAAAATATTTTATTTTATAAATATGCAACTGTGTCACAAACATTTAAAGAAAATTCGAACAGTTTTAGTAGTAATACTTATTCATTCATCACTACAGGATGATGAAATGTGTGGAGAGATAAGAGAAGATGATTCAAATGATGAGAACGAAGGCGAAGAGGCTACTATTGACTCGAGGCTTCAAGCCACAAATGTAAGTGAACTTATTTTGTTATGTACTGAACAAGAATAAACTTTCACCTGTAGAATCATGGATACATGTTACAAATAACCAACTCAGTCAGCTTTCAGTAAACACTGTAATTCTTTTGTAGACAAAATATAAGAATTTTTAATGAAGTATCTTTATTAAACATTTCTTCAGAGTCAAAGTGTTGGCTGCTCTGAGTGCAAAATGATTTTCACGTTTAGATTAAAAATACTTTTCTTCATCTGAAAATTGTCAAATTTCCTTTACATCTCTAAAACCTCCTTAATAAATTTTAAATTTCTTTTTTTTAAGTAAATATTCATATTTTATCTGTTATTTTCTTTATTCCAATTCTAAATGAAGTCAGTCAATTTGACTAACCATGTAACCACCATAAAATTAATAAGAAGTAAACTTAAATTACCCTTTTTTTCTGTATAGAATGAGTGCAAATTGTAACAGGAAACTACATTTCTTTATCCTAAATAGCTTACAGCATCTGTTTCTACTTAAATTTTATTGTTTTTTCGTCCTTGGAACTGTGTCTAACTAACAATCCAACCACACAAGTTGTAAATAATTTGGCAAACGTGTAGTTCATGTCACCCTATAGAATAAAGTAATGCACGAGCTACTTCTGAGCATTTCTCATGAAAGATTTTTATTATTTTTATTTATGTTACCTATAATATCTTATAAGTATCATAATTTTCTGGCTTTCTAACTATGCGATAATTGCTGTTAAAAATTCAGCTTAGCTCATCTACTTGTTTCCCATGAGAATGAAGTTTGAACTGGAAGCAAAATAGACAATTATCTGTACAGAAAACAACATAGTATAATGTGCCATTTGATAGATAAAAACTTTGGCTTTCTATTGGTTATGAGTCATATAGTATTAAACATCAAAAAGAACTATTGACAGTTTGTAAAAGAGAGGATGTGATGTGTTGGCATGGAGAATGGGTCCAATTTCTAGTTTATGGCTCATAAACAAATATTATTGAAGACTATAAAAATTATGCTTTATATGAGCAATAACTATGTTATAATGAGTAATTTATAATCAGTTCTGTACTTCTAGAGCAAATGTCACAATTCTCATACTAGGGGAGATTAAGGATGTTTTAAAAATACTTCCTCAAGAATTTAAAATTTGATTTATTTACTACATTTTGATGCTGAGTTTATTTGAATACCATGATAATTAAGTAGTTTAATTAAATCTTAAAGTTGAGTCGTGCACTTTTACCTGCCGTGACAAGAAAGTTAAACCTGATATGTGTGTTTTCCAAACCATGGTATAAAGGCAATGTGAAAATTGAATATTAACACCAATAATATTTTTCTTGAAAAACTGTTAAATTATTCTATACGATAATGGAAATTTTTCCATATGTTGATGTGAATGTCTTTTTTGGCTCATTTCTTCGGGGAATGTTTTTATCCTACATTGAATTTCTGTGGATATTGAAAAAAAAAATTAATAAACTACTACTGAGTGATAGCTTTATATTGAGCTTAAATTAAAGATGTTTTTTTCTAGCTTGGTGTGGGTCAGGAGTCTGGATCTAAAGGGACCAAACCTTTGCATCCTCGTGAAATAGATGCTTATTGGTTGCAACGAAAGTTAAGTAAATTCTACGATGATCCAGTGGTGGCTCAAACAAGAGCAGGTGAAGTTCTGGAAATTCTCAAGGTTTGTATTTTGTATTGTTAGTATTAGTTCCTCTTATGTTTTGTCCAAAGTTTTGTGTTTTTATTTGATTTTTAAAACATACTTGTGTGTTCAGTTTCAAGGAAGATAGTTTTAATTTCTTGATTGCCGAGTCTCTTATTATTTGATTGTTGTTAGAACTACATATTGTTTTTATCAGCAGCTCCATACTCTTTATGCATTCTTAATGTCAAAATAAAGGACACTGTGGCAATAGAGAAACTAAAACCAACATTGAACTCTAAACCATCAGCAACAGAAATTCTTCCACATTAAAAACACTTGTTATGGTACTGATCATTTTGTATTTATTAGTATATATCTAAAGTTCTGTTTATATCTATTTATTTCTAGTGTGAGGAAACTAGTACAAATATACTTTTTTTATGATATATATTGTTTTTGTTATTTGTTTTTTAGACAGCTATTGATGATCGAGATATTGAAAATCAACTTGTTTTGTTGCTGGGCTTCAATCAGTTTGAATTCATCAGAGTTTTGCGCCAGTACAGAGATATGAGTGAGTATTTCTAGGATATTAAGTCCCAATTTTCCTGGCTTGTTTTGTACCTTGTCAAAATTTTCCTTCTATTAGTATAATTTGGAAGCTTTGATGTGTTTTGGAAATATTATTTTACGATTCTGTGATTAGCACTCTTACTTCAAACAAAATATTAAAGTATGTGTGTGTGATGACCTAAAACATGCTCAAGAAGTGCTAAAACATCTTGTGAAACAATATGTAACAAAAGCATATTTTAGGTTTTTTTTCTCTGGTTTTATTTTTTATTGGACAATTATATATCAGAACTTTTCTATGTCATATACAGCTATGCATATGTAACAGTTGTTTTTGTGCATAATAAATGATTCAGTAAGAGCAGTTAATATGACTTGTTTTAAAATGTAGATCCAATGCACAAGAAACACCATGTAAAGATGACCATTAGACAAGATGTACAGTGACACTGAAGTTGTTCTGCAACCTGATATGGATAACATGATAATTAGAGATTATTCTGATAACTTAAGTGGTAAATTATATTGTTCAGAATACCTAATTCGTCTCTTTTTTTTCTTTTTTTTCACCTAATTCCTGATTAGTTCAGTTATCTTATTTCTTACTGTTATCATTAAAAATAATATCAAATAATTTACCTATCATATATTCTCTTTGAAGAAGGTAAAGTATGGCATATTCATATAGTTTTTATGTTATCATAAAATTTTATTTTTATTTTCAGTTTTGTACTGCACCCTTTTGGCCTCATCCCAAAGTTCAACAGAAAAAACTAAAATTAGAGAAAAGATGCAAGGGGACCCTGAATTGGAAAAGATTCTTCGACAACTAGAAGATACTGGAAAAGAAGACATAGTTCAGGTATTAATACCGGAGAATTTACTAGTTATGGTGTTGATAAATATTGCATCTTAACTTCAGATATTGATATTCTTTGGTTTTATTTATGTATTGTTTTTTATATAAAAGTTTTTTTATGCACTCTCTCAAACTACAGGCCAGTTTTGTTCCATGGAAATATATGAAATTATCTATTCATAATAGTGTGTGTATATATTAAACAAAAGAATTGGATCACACATCATCAGAAAAAGCACAATATAAAAAATGCTATTAATGATATAAATTATTCTGTGAGGAACTTGTACCTTCACATATGATATTTGAAAACTTGTATATTTGTTGTCTGTATTATTCAGGCCACCATTACTTACTGTTACAAAAATCAGATAACCTTCTCAGGGGTTGACAATCAAATTATCTCTTGTTATATACTAGCAGAAATACTTGCCATCCAGGCAGGTATAACTGCTAGTTCCTGCGGCCTTTCTTGGAATTGTCTGACAGTTCTACAACAATGTATTCATACCTGACATTCAATAATGTTCATCATCCATGAGAAAAAGGATTTTATTGAAATTTTAGTTTAAAAATGAGCTATCATCACAGCATTACATCACAGAGTAGATTTAATTTAAATATTTCTTTGTACACACAGTTATCAATGAAAGTGCCTTGCTTTTCTGTTGCCAACACTCAGGAGATTTTCACTAAAGAAAAACAAATAATTTTTTTTTTAATTTGTTTTTGATTGTTTTATATTTGAAACTTAATTCTTTTTGTTTGTAATTTTTATTGGTTAAATCTGAAACATATCATTTTTGTGGAAATTTCAATTGCTTTATTTATTGCTCAGCTTTAAAAATACTGCATAGTTATTAAAATATTACCCACTTATGATTGGTGATGATCAGTGTGGTATTTTCTAAGATCTGAGTTTTGGACGTATACATATCAAGCTCCATTATAATAAGATTCTAACAAGATAAAATACATTTTTTAGCTTTCCCTTATGGTTCAGGCTTTTACATCAGATATTATAGTGGTACTTAATTCCTAATTTTTGAGTATACTGATCACTTTCCTACTGATACAGTACTGAAAAATTCAGGTACATCTTTACAATTTCAACCTTCAAATCCTTCTCCCCTCCTTTCCCTCCCTACACACATACACACACACACACACTCACAGATAAGAATTAGATATTATTTGCACATTAATTATTAATATCCCTTACTGGCTATGTATTCAACTTATTACATGTTTCAAGATATTTGTTGTAATCTGGAAGTGAAAAATACTCTTTAAAAAAGCAGTATAATTCTTTCATTCCAACAATTCAAAAAAATTAAACTGATCAGGTTTTAATATTTTTTATTACCTCCCTCATGCTTACCACAGGTGGCTACCAGTGATTTTGTCATTCTGTACAATAATGGGAGGAAAAGTATTGTTGTGTGGATATATGTAAATGGTTTCTATTCTAATTTAATTGAAGCATTTATATCCATTTCATACAGTCCTGTGTTTTAATTGTTTGTTGATGTTTTTTGCCAGGTGTTCTAATTAAAAAACCCCTGGTAATTATGGTTGGCAGTTATTTTTCATTGTTGTGCGAGTTATATTGAGAATGTTACAAGATAAAAATGTGCTACTAAAGTTTTACGTTAGTGACATTGAAGCTTTATGTTTTACATTTTAGTGACATTGAAGCTTTATGTTTTAC